GGTCAGTTCGCATCGGCCCCTCACATTAATGAAAAGGTCAAAAGCGAAGTTTTTTTTTTTTTTTTTGAAAATAGGTAATGAGGTCAAAAGCGAAGTTATCAAATCACAAATACGGGAAAATCAAAAGCCAATTTTGTTTCTCTCTCTCCTTAGACCACATGCATACGATGCCTGCACGCACGCCACGGCTCCACCAATCTCCTAAATCATCTGTTACCGAATGAGGTGCCTATCTAGGTAAACGACCGATGACCTCACAAGTTGGCAAGTTCACACTTCACACTCTCATGCATGTACGAGCTCCATCCAATCACATCTTTCATTCACACAACAAAGCTGCAACACCAAGTAATTATATCACTTCTCCGTACCCAACAAGTCCACGCTGTACGTTCTTAAACCCCCAAACTTAACCAAAAATATTATTTAAGCTCCTGAATTAAAAACAAAGCAGATAAGCCTCCTAAGTCCACTAACGATGCAAATAAACTCTTCTCAAAAATGGATTAAATGCTATTTCATGTTTAATATCACCTTAAAAGCATGAAAAATCATAAATAAAAAGGATTTAATCGCATCATTAATGAGTTGGAGGACTTATCTGTTTTTTTAAGAACTTAAATGTTATTTTGGGATAAATTTGAGGGTTTAAAAAGAGTTTTTCCTACATACAAAGCTCTGAAATTGACACGTCAGTTACGCGATCAGACACGCCCCAGATTACCACTTTGCCCCTAAAGCTCTCCAAATTTTACCCGAAGCGCCCAAGGAAATCACTGCTTCAGTAATTACGAATTTACCCTCAACTAGATGTTTCTTATGACGTGGCGACAAACTATTGGAAGTTTTACGGGTCACAAGTTAGAAAGACACCGCTTTAAAACAAACCCCATCCTGCATCTTTTCCTGCCGTTTATATTTATTTATCTCTTCGTTCTTGACGATTCACTCCGTGTCTCTTCGAATTTCATTTCCTAGGGTTTCAGAAATTTTTTGCATTCTATAAATCTATCAGTGTTTTCCTTCTTCTGTTTCAAAACCCCAATTTGCAATCATTTAGAGGTTTGGTTTTTCGCCTGACAATGGCGCCATCGATTAAGCAGCAAAAGCTGGGGAAAGATTCGGATTCCGAGGCGCCGTCGAGCAGCCTGTGGGTGGGTAACTTGACGGCGGAGACGGTGGATTCGGATCTCATGGAGATGTTTGGCAAGTACGGGACGCTGGATAGCGTGAGGACGTATTCTGCACGGAGCTTCGCATTCGTGTACTACGAGCGTGTGGAGGACGCCAAGGCGGCTAAGGATGCGCTCCAGGGAGCAACCTTGCACGGGAACCAGATCAAGATCGAGTTCGCGAGACCGGTTTGTAGTTCTCATCCTATGCGTCTCGTTAGGTTTCTGTTTTCCGCAATTCATTTGAATCTGTGTAAGAATTCTTTTGCCTTTCTGCTTAATAGAGATCTCAGTTTTGCGCATCCAAATTCATTTTCCTCTTTCTTTCCATTTGGATTAAGATCCATAAATCAGCATGAATCGATGTCGTGCCGTTCAATTGCATCCTGTTTTATAAAATCCTAATGAAGACATCGAGAAATCTAGGCATGCTAACTCAACCCGATGAGTTATCAAACTACAAACCAATTACACTTCGGTTTTTTTTTTTTTTTTTTTTCTTTCTGCAACTTTCCACGCTATAATCGATCTAAAAAAACATTTGCAACCCGACGTAATTCGATATGGATTGAAGGCATAGGAAATTTCTATTACAATTTTAACTAGTCAATCATCCAAATCGAGATTCATCTTTAAATCAGAAAAACTCCATTTAGTTTTCAAGAAATTATCCGCAGAAAACCCCTTTTAACAGCGAGCAACTGATTTCGTTTGTTAACCTTGCATTATACCTTGGCTTGGCTATATGCAAGCAATCAGATCTACATCTTTGTTTGGTGTAAGAAGAGAAAACTGGATCATAACTTAATTTATCGTATGTAATACTGCGATTTCAGTGCATAATGTTGGTCTTGTCTAAACTAGTTTGTGATAGATAGCAAAAGGGTGAGCTAAAGCAATATGGCTAGTTGGTTACACCATTGCCCATCAGCTTAACCTATCAACTCCACTATTTCGACCAAATATTGCAATAGCTTGCAAGCGCCATAAAAGGGAAAACCATTACAAGAGCTCACCTGGTTTAGTTAGAATTTTTTTTTTTTTTTTTTTTTTTTTTGAACAAGTTGTCAAGAGGCAGGTTCGAAGCCCGCCATGGGAGAGGGGAATGCACCTCAAGCTGACAGGGTGCCAATTGGCTTGAAGGGTCAGGTGCTAGTTAGAATTTTGTTAAGTGTAGTAAAAGTTGCAGCATGAAATAAATCAAAACGATTTTTCTAATTTTGGAAGTTAGTAAATTTCATAAGACTCGAAAGTCTACATATAAAAATTATTTCAGCTTCTAGTTTTTAAGAACTTTGTTAAGTGCAGTAAAAGTTGCAACATGAAATAACTCAAAATAATTTTTGTAATTTTGGAAGTTAGTAAATTTCGTAAGACTCAAAAGTCTACATACAAAAATTATTTCAGCTGCTAGTTTTTTAGAACTTTAAAATGATTTTTGCTTTTTAGGGAAAAGGCAAAGGAGTTTCTGAAAAAAATTACTCTTTAAACTATCTTCATGGAGAAGTTATTCTTGAAGCCCAGCTAAACAGAGACCAAGTTATTTTTGTATGTTGCAAAATCTAACAATATCCACAACACAAGGAAAAAAAAAAAGGGAGAAAATTATGGCAAGCATTCATATAGATCAAAGTAGAAGTCCTAAGTGAATTCCATCAATGGTTGTAGGGCTCTAACCTGCTAACTTCAAAGTCCTCAATCAATTTTGTAAGGGGTGAGAGGTTTAAACCTCTGCAGTGGGTAATAAATTATATGCAAAGGATATTAAAAAAAAAAAAGGAAAAAAGAAAGAAGAGGAGAAAACAAATAGATGTAGGATTGTAAGATGCTTGTTTGAGCTTTATTGTAAGATGCTTGTTTGAGCTTTATTCAAACAAATTAAGTTCAATTACCTTGCCTGCTAGAGATGTTCATTTGGTCAACACTGGATGTGGATTACAAAAAGTTAGAAGTATGATGAGCATATCTAAATCAGTACATTCTTTGGGATGGTAAATCAAGCTAAAGTGTTCTTAAGTCTTCAAAGTGTCAATAGTATTGACAATTTTATAGGAGAGGTATCTCCCCAAAGAATTTGACACTTTGAAAATTGATGTTCTTATGACATTTACTTTTTCAGGCAAAACCTTGTAAGCATCTGTGGGTAGGTGGAATTAGCTCAAATGTTGCCAAGGAAGAATTGGAAGAAGAATTTTGCAAATTTGGTAAAATTGAGGACTTCAGGTTCTTCAGGGATCGCAACACCGCATTTGTTGAATACCTCAGAGTAGATGATGCTTCCCAGGCTATGAGGAGCTTGAATGGAAAGCGAATTGGTGGTGAGCAGATACGTGTGGATTTCTTTCGGTCACAAGCTCCTAGAAGAGTGAGTAAAACTTTGAATTTGATGCTATTTGATAGTTTTATCTGCACTTGGTATAAGAGTTGATATAGAAACTTCCTTGCTCTGGGCAATCTTTATTAGTTAGGTTCTGTTCGGAAATCTTTTCATTTTCTGGTTTCCTGTTTTCCTGTTTTCTGATATTTTGATGGTTCTGGTAAGAAATGTTGATCCATGGTTTTGATTTGTTTCTGAAAAATATTGAATACATTATTTTTTCCCATATTTTTCAAAATTTCTTGACAACAGGTTCCAAAATTCTGAAAGGAAAAAGTGCCATCAAACCTTTTTTGTTGTTGTTGTTGTTACCAAATTTTTGGAAATTAAATCTGACACCATAATAACATGACCAAATACACTCCTACAAGTTGGACTATGCCCCAGTATGTTTAGCATTGATGACGTTTTTCTACCCCAAAAGAGTGTGGCAGCTTGTGGATCAATATTCTCTAGAAATCTTTTTTGGTTTTTTGGCCTTCAATATTCTTAAAGAGTTAGATGCTAGTTTTTTGAACTTCATATATTTTTATTGGATGTCATGTCTACATTATTATTTTCATGTCCTTAATTACATCCTTGCTTCTTTAAAATCCACCAGTGGATATTATCATCTTTAATTGTTTGGCGCTTTGTTAGTTTTCAACATGAAATTAATTTTTCTTTGATTTGATATTTTCAACAGGATCCAGGGCCTACCTCCCATGACCTGAGGGATGGGCCTTTTTCTGGAAGGGGCACAGGTGACAGTCATTCTATGTCCAAAAAGCTGGTGAGTGTCAATCTGCACCTTTTGTTAAGCTAGACTTGGTCCTCTTCTTCATTCTTTTTGCATCCATAGCTGTAGGCTGATGATGAGTTAATGAGTTACAATTAAGTACAGCAGTTTTATGCACTGCAGCAGACAATTGAGAGGGGACCAGTGAACCCTCCCACTATGAGATGCCTTTCCCTACCCCGATTTTCTTTAAAATTCACAATCAGTTACCAACATTGAGAACATAAAACTTTAGTTCAGAGAAAATTAGAAGTTATCATTCTTTTTTTTATTTTTTTTGTTAATTAATTAAAACTACTTTATCAAATTTATGATAAGTGCTTGGTTCATTTTGTATTCTAATTTATTGTATCATCTCTGCAGCATTCTCAATTGGGGGGACGAAAAGGAGATCAGCCCAGCAATATTTTATGGGTTGGCTATCCACCATCTCTTCAGATAGATGAACAGATGTTGCACAATGCCATGATCCTCTTTGGTGAGATTGAGAGGATAAAGAGTTTTCCTTCAAGGCATTACTCTTTCGTCGAGTTTAGGAGTGTGGAGGAAGCTCGTCGTGCTAAGGAGGGCCTTCAGGGTCGTTTATTTAATGACCCAAGAATTACTATTATGTTTTCAAATAGTGAGCTTGGGCCAGGGAAAGATTACCCTAGTATTCATTCAGGTATAAAGGGACCAAGGCCTGATGCATTTTTCAATGAAAATCCCTTTAGAGCTTCACAGGTTGATATATTTGCTCACAATCACCCAGTACTGCCAAATTCATTTTCTGGACAAATACCATTGAGTGGTGTTCTAGGACCAAACCAGCTGAGGCCTCTTGGTCCTCAAGGGAGCTATGACCCTTTGCTGTCAGGCACAGAATACAATGAGCTGGCTGCACGTCATGGCATACAGGATGTTGATCCAAAGAATCTCATGGGTCCAAATTGGAGAAGACCATCTCCGCCTCTTTCTTCTCCTGCTCAAAGTCTTAGGCCTCCAATGAGACAATCATCTAGTTCATTGGATGTTTATGATACAAACCAGTTTCAGAGAGAGTCAAAACGTTCCAGAATAGAGGCTTCTTTGTCTGTTGACGATCTTGGGCAAGGGTTGGATCGCTCATATGGGCTTGGTCCAGTAATTGATGGAAGTGTTTCTGTTCCATTTGCAAGTGTTCAAGGCAAGAATCGTCTAAGTCCAGTGCCTGGGAGGGTCACAGCTGGAAGTCCTGGACTTGGGCATCCAGATAATGACTACATATGGCGTGGCATTATTGCCAAGGGTGGAACACCTGTTTGTCATGCTCGATGTGTGCCTATCGGAAAGGGGATAGAGACTGAGCTGTAAGTGCCATTTTCCATTTTACCTTTTTCCTTTTTAGATTTTTCATTCAAGGGACTTGTTCATTTGACTGTTTTATACAATGCATGACGTGCAGCAAACTGTCAGTTTTTAATTTCTTCAAATCTATGGTTTTATCCTATGAAATCATTTTTTGAAGTTCTGAGAGGGAAAGCCAGGCATACTAGTAACTTTTCCACTGGTGCTCTACAGAATGTAATTTGCATTTGATTTAATCTGTATTTTCTCCTTCATCAGCCCCGACGTTGTTAATTGTTCAGCCAGAACGGGATTGGATATGCTTACAAAACACTATGCTGAGGCCATTGGATTCGACATTGTTTTCTTCTTGCCTGACAGTGAAGATGATTTTGCTTCCTACACTGAATTCCTTCGCTACCTGGGTTCCAAAAATAGAGCTGGTGTTGCCAAGTTCGATGATGGGACAACATTGTTTTTGGTGCCTCCATCAGATTTCTTGACAAAGGTTTTAAAAGTTATGGGACCTGAGCGGCTCTATGGGGTTGTTCTAAAGTTACCTCCTCAGGTACCTAGTGCTGCACCAGCACCAATTCATCCACCTCTCCCTGCACAGTCAGATTACAGTCTTTCACATGTGAAGGAAGAGCAGGCTTTGCAGATTGATTATGGTAGGGTTTTGCCCGAGGACTCTAAGCTGCCACCTCCAAGATCACTGGTGCAATCCACAACTCAGAGCCATCTGCCTAATAATCCTGCAGCAGCAGCATCCCAAAGTGGAGTTGCTTTAACACCAGAGCTCATTGCCACTCTAGCTTCTTTGTTGCCCACAACCTCACAGTCTTCTACTTTAGGAGGTGCTCAGTCTCCACTAGCATCTTCAACCACCCGACCTTTGACCCAAACCATTGGAGTTAGTAAAGGACCTTTATCACAAGGTTGGAGCCAAGACCAGCAGGCTCCTGAACCTGTAGCACATTCTTTCCAACAATTAGGGAATCAGTTTAATCCATCAACACAACTGCCTCCAATTCAGCATTACCCATCTATACCAAGTACACCTAGCCACTCAGCCCCGCCACAAATGATCTTTGCCGGCAATCAATTTCAGGAGTCTACAGTTGGCCTGCCACAACAAGGTGCTGTATCTTCAAGGCCACCATCTAACTTCAATATGCCATTGCAAACTTCAAATATTGCTGTTACTGCACCACTCAGCCAGCAGTATCAACCTGAAGTTCCTTCAAATCCGCACAAAGGCTATGGGATGATGCATGGAACTGATGCATCTGGCTTATACAATTCTTCACTAGCTTTTCAACAACCAGCCAATCCAAATGCTCCCTCTAATCAGGTTCATGGTGCTAATTTTTCCCAGCCACAAAATGCAATGCAATTGTCCACTGATAAAGGAAGTTTGGAGCTTCCTAATCAGGTTCAGCATCTGCAATCTGTGCATCCTGGAGCTGGTCAGGGCACCTCAGATGAGGTTGATAAGAATCAGCGCTACCAATCAACTTTACAATTTGCAGCTAACCTCCTCCTCCAGATACAGCAGCAGCAACAAGCAAATCCCCCAGGAGGGCAAGGATCAGGGAATTAGCCTTGAGGTTTTCTTCGTAAAGGTAATTATCCCTTCTATAACTATGTTTTGCATGGATGAGCACCCCTAGACAATAGTTTTGACAATAGTAGGTCATAGGTGTGTTAATTGACCAATTTGGAGAATGATCTTGCTTGTTTGTGTATGATGAAACAGATGATAGTTGTTGCTTGCTTGTTGTGCTTCTTATAGGTGGCTGCATGTCGATTCTGACTGCCTTTTCTTTAAATTAAAATTTTGTGGGCTTTAGGTTGCTCTGCATACACTGAAAACTTAAGTGTGATGTTTGAGGCAATTAATTGATGTTTTGGTGTTTAGATTATGAGAGAGTAACAAGTTATTTTTTCTTAGGCTTGGCAGTAAAGCTTATTGTGTGCACTTCACATGCATTCCATTCCTATTGGTTACATATGCATTTTTGGTGCAAGTGATTATGTGACTAATCCAATTTGAATTTATTTGATTTTGGTTTTATCTTTTCTTTCATTCATCTGCTTTTACCACCTGCAATTGGTCCTTTTCCTGCTGTGTTTTTGCTTATTATTTATTGTCACCGTTACCTTTACATCTGGATTTTGCTTCTGGAGTAATTTTTTCCTGTCTCTTTATGTGCTTTTTGTTATTAAAATGCTTTCTTTAATATTCTCTTGTCTGATCTGTGGACCTGTGCTTGTTTATTATGAATCTAGGATAAACATTCTTGAACTTCTCAAATTGTAACTATTATGAGATGTAATTGCACTTTGTAAAACTGCGTTATAATTTGAAAGCCTATCAATTCTAAAAAAATCTTTAGAAGTTGTGACAGAGATTAGGTATGTTAAGCCCTAGACTGGATCTAGTAGTTCTTTCAAACAGGTCTTCAACTGTCTGAAATTATCCCCAAATTAGTAACCTCATTGGTTGAATGCTGGCGAGTTTTTACGATGTTTAACTTAAGAAAGTTCAACACATTAAATTAAGAACATTCAAAAGCTTTTGATATACATTTTGGGTTTGAGCCAAAGATTTACTTTGACAAGGATCAAGATTTTCCTTCCCACGTAACATTCCTTACATATCATTTAGAGGTGTTAATTGCGTCCTAGGAGTTTTAAAGTTTTATTTTTGATATTGTGAGAGGTCAAGTAACCACAGGAATTGTTCTAATAAACACGATATTACTGTAATATAAATGAGAATTGTTAGATGACAACCTGACATGTTGAGTGCTTCGTATAATTTGGAGGGGAAAGGCCTTCTGTTCCCTCTAGTTTCTAAGTATCTCTAGCCGATATCTCATCCAATCTTGAAGAAAAACTAAACTTGCTCGAAGAGGTTTTCGATCTCACATAGGTTTCTCTGAGGGCTTCTGCATGCCTACCCTGCAAATCTGTGCAGTGGAGAAAGTGGAGAAGCATCCTGCGGTTTGAAGGTTATACTTCCTATCATAAAAGTACGGTTGTCTGCTATATAGGTTATTTACGTGATATTTAACTCAAAATTTAGCCTCCAAATGCGAAAATATATGTTTAAAAAGTTGCCGATTTGTCATTTAAAGCGGCACCTAATTGCCTTAAATAAGAAAATTATGTGAAGGAACTATGTAGAACACACATTATGAAAAGAACAGAAGTGTGCAACTATTACTTTCATTCCTGGGGCATTTCTCTTCGAGATGATCATGGTACAATTTGATTCAGTTTCAACTTTCCAGGGTAACAAGGGCCTTGGCTTGACATGGCGCTTTTGCAACAATGATTTTCATGTTAGTAATCATATTCTAAAGTACGGATGATGCAGTTTTTCAACTGAAAGTTCACATATAGGTCTGTAATTAAACCTCTGAATAAGTACTAGTTTTTTACTGTTTTCCTTGAGGACGTATGCAGTCTTAATGCCCAATACTGTTCAAAATTTGTTCGGAATCGGGAGAGGGTCCAGTTAGACCACAATAATACCTAAATTTCCCTACTTTTATTCTGATAATAAAAACTTGCTGTGGTAAATATGGGACTGTAGTTGATGCAATCACTAACGAACATTTTGGCTAGATGTGGACTAAGTAAATGAATGGTGTATGGACGATAGTGGCAGGCACATCCTTTATTCTGATTCATCTGTCTACGTTGATTAAACTTGATAAGAAAAGCTTTGAGATTGAGAGAATTGAATGTTGTGGGTGACATTGACAAGGACTAAAATCTGTTGAATTTGTGTAGGTAGAACTGGGGATTTCAAAATCAAGAACGAAGAAGAAACCATGCATGTTGATTGACGTTGCTGTTAAAGCTGTTTTGGTATAAAGAAGAATGGTTGGTCATCTCAGTCGTGTTAGATTGTATAGACGAATGGTTGGTTGCCGACAATGGTTTTAGTTCAGCTGTGGTTTGGATGTACAAATTGCTGTCGTTTTCTTTGCTTTAGTTTCAGATTTCCGACTTTAAAACTAGCTTTTAACGTAATACCAATTTTCCCATAAGTTCATACTTCATAATTTAAATTGCAATTTCTTCCCATGGTTGCCACACGCCATTCCATTCCTGTTAAAACCTCAGTTGGTGTCTGGTATTGGTATTGTATGGAAAAGGTCCAAATACAATTGTTATACTTCCTTTGTACAGCAATACTTAAAAAGTAAAAAAAAAACAACCATTATTATGAGAAAGGTCTAAATATGGTTGTCATGTTCTCTATGTCTTACAATACTTATAAATAAAAAATTATTATTATTATTATTGAGTAAGCATCATGCCAAAACATCATAATACAACGGATAAATAAAATTCTGATACGGAGAAATAATTAGGCTGGACTATGCCTTAGAAGTACGCGGAACAAACGCAGACCGTATCCTAATTTGAGAAATTGACAAAATGGGCTAACATCAACATTTAGCCCCTCACCTTACAAAATTTATAGATTTTAACCCTTAATCTTATAATATGACATTTTTAACCTTTTACCTTACAAAGTTGGTAAGTTTTAACCTCTTACCTTATATTATGATACTTTTAACCCCTTATCTGTACGAATTGAGGAAAATAGCCCTTATTTAACATTAGATTTTAATGTTTTATTAGTTCTGTTAACTGATTATCAGTTCTGTTAGTTGACTGTCAGTTTTGTTAGTTGACTGTCAGTTTTATTAGTTGACTATTAGTTCTGTTAGTTGACTGTTAGCATCCATTAGTATTCCATTAATGAAATTAACAAATAAAATTAAATTTAAATTTTATATTTTTTATAACAGAATGCTAACAGATGTTAATAGTCAATTAACAAAACTAACAGAACGTTATAACTTGATGTTATGTGAAGGTTATTTTTTTTAATTTGTATCGTTGATGGGCTAAAAATATTATAATATAAGATGAGGGGCTACAAGTTATCAACTTTGTAAGATAAAAAACTAAAACTGTCATGTTATAAGATAAGGGATTAAAATCTATCAATTTTGTAAAATGAGGTGCTTTTTTTTTTTTACCGACAAAATGCGCGCAACTTGGAAAACACCATCTCGAGTCGATGTTAAGGCATCCTTTCAACCGCAAGTCAAACGACCAGTTGTTTGTGCTTGCTTACCAACTAAGAAATAACAAATGGGCAAGTTTATAATAGTAGAAAAAAATATGAGATTTTGATTTTTAAAATGTTAAATATTTTTAATAAAATTTTTTATGTGTTAATTTATTATTATTATTTATTTATTATTTTTTTTAACACTTTAATTGTCAAAACATGTTAATTTTCTTAACTTTTATAATAAAAAAATATTTTATATATTTCATTTTGCAATCCACTAGACTTAAATATTTATCAAAAGAATATAAAAAACGACAACTCGAGGCCAATTCAATTTTTGAGTGTAGCAGGAACGCCTGGCGTTCTGGTTAGAAAGGTAAACTCCAAAGTCTCAATCCCTTGGGCTGACCTCGAAGCCATTTGTAAATTGTAATTGTTATGTGGTAACTATGGAACGTATCTAAAGGTAGTTGCTCAACCTAATGTATTTTTTTTCTTTTTATAAAAATCATCTTTTAGTATAAAATTTAAAAAAACAAAAATATCTTTATGCATGAAAATTCATTAAAAATATTTATTTATGTTTTTGCTGTCTTTATTTTTTTTTACATTTTCCAGGCCAAGAAAATGCCAATAAATATAATTTCAAAGGAGTCGGCTTCGCATACGGCATTCGGTCGAATGGCGCCAAGCCACGTTTACCTGCAACTGTTTGAATCCGACCTTTTTTTTAAATTATTCCGAAAAAAAAGGGGTCGGCTTCTTTTCTTCCCATGGCCACGGAAACTCAAAAGCCAGAGGGGTGGACGTGGCTAAATTAGAAACTCCGTCATTTAACCAGACGAGTGAGTGACGCCGCCACATACTGAAAGAAGACGAATCTGAAGGCAGTGAGATGGGGCTGGAGGGGGTAGGAGATGGAGCTATTCACGAAATCCTATCGAAATTAGGTCCCAACGATACTGGGAAGGTTTCCTGTGTCAGCAAACGCTTTAGGGACTCTGCTTCTGTGGACTCTCTCTGGTCCAAAATTTGTCTCGATGATCTTGATCTCGTCTCCCCTCAAGACCCGCAAGGAAACCCTGCTCCTTCTTTCAAGGTATGTAGATCATCATTTCCTGAGCTTTATTATGTTAATCCCCACCCCCTTTTTTCTTTTTTGCGTCTTGCTTTTGATTCATTCTTGAAATGGTTATTTTTGAGATAATTTGAGGTTAATTAGAGATTGTTTTTGTAAAAATAGTTGGAAATGCTTCAATTTGGTTGAATTCATGGCATTTGGATTGAGTAGGGATTAGTCAGTTGAGAATAATTGCTGAGAAATATTTGAATTTTGATTAAGACTACAATATATTGTTGCTCATTCTGGGTTCGTTGTGTTTCCAGGCAGCTTATCAATTATGGAGAGAGGCTTTTGCTATGTACCCTTGGCCACTTGTTTTGCGTGTCAAGAGATGTTGGGGTAAGCTTAAAAGTTGGTTGAGCAAGAATTATCCGGAGGCAGAGGCTACGCTTCGAGGAGGGGCATCAGAATCTGATATTGAACAATTAGAGCGCCTCTTAAAAGTGAAATTGCCTCTTCCGACTAGGGTTCTTTATCGTTTTCATGACGGTCAAGAATTACCTGCCATGAATTTGACTGGAAATCCATTTCTTTTATTGGGAATCATTGGTGGCTACGATTTCTATGACCATTTGGTTAATGTCTACTTGTTGCCTCTTAGCCAGGTGATTGTTGAGACGAGGAAGGCCAGATATTGTTGGGGGTTTACAAGCAGATCTAAGTACATTGTTGTGGCTGCTTCCTCGACTTCTGCTAAGAAGCTGTTTTTCTTTAACTGTACAAAAGGCCAGCTCTATGTTGGTACTAGTAAGCTTTCAACTGATAGGGATATGATTCCATGCGTTCCAAATTCGCTTATTCGCTCTGTGCGTGGTTCTAGTGGTGATCAGCATCAGGATGCTATGCTCCTATGGTTAGAAGAACATGGCCGCCGCATGGAAAGTGGCATTATCAAAGTTCGTGAACAAGAAGAAATCAGAAGCATCAGTCTGTTTCCAGAGGTTCCTCCCTTATGTTCCACTACAGTAACTAATGGTGTTAAGGTAAATTAATCACAGGGTGCAATGTGTGTTACTTTAATACCTCTATTTAGTAAATCAGAGCAGTTGTAAAATTTTGAAAATTTTGGCCCTTTTTAATGTTGCTGTTATTTGATGAGCAATATCCATAGGATTTAAGTTCTGAAAAGCTTCTGTGCTCTATTGATGGCAACCCTTTTCCTCCTGTCATTGGTAAATATGCTTTTTCAATATTTCTGTGTCCTGTTGCTCTTTACAATATCTGCGATTAGTTCCTTTTTCATTATTATTGTTATTATTTTTTTCTAAGATTGTTTTTTGAGTTCTTTCATACTGCAGATTCGTGCTTCAGCTGTCTTTGTTCCGGAGTTGGCTAACCTTCAACATGATATCGACAAGTATTTGTTTGCTTATTCAATCCGCATGTCCCTACTGCCTGATGGTTGTATCATCAATGGAATGACCTTCAACTCTTGCCAACTCAAATTGAGACACTGGCAAATTCGTTCTAATGATGCTGTAGCATTCATTGATGATGGAGAGGCCATGATAGGAGAGGTACTAGTGTGCCTTGTCATATCATTGTCCGTTGTTGTAGCTTCTGCTGATGATATTTCAGTGAAAACTTTCATGTGTTGGAAAAATTAATTTCCATCAGTGAAGAACTGCATGTCTGCAACTTTCCTATCCTTTTCTTGACTTTTTGATTGCCAAAGGTTTTAGCAAAATTATAACTTTCAATGTGAAGAACTGCAAGTTTCTTATCCTTTTCTTGACTTTTTCGTTGCCTAAGGTTTGAGCAAAATTA